CGTGAACGGGAGGGGGTCCCAGGGCCGTAAGGTTGGCCTCGGGGCCCCGCACCCCCTGGGGCTGCCGTGCGGGCGGGAGTAGGGTCACGCGGACGCACGAACCTGCCGAGCGAGCCTCCTGCGGCTCCCCTGCCCCAAAACCGCCAGGGAAGAAGACAGGGGGCAGGTTTGCTTGTGGTTTGGGGCGTCCTGCGGTGGAGCCCTCATGTGTCTGCCTGTTTGCACTGCCAGGTCCTTTGCTCTTGTCGAGTGTTTTCGCCCTGTACCACCTCCTTACCAGGTTCAAAACTCCTCCGGAAGGGGCACACTCCTCCCCAGCCCGTCGTCACCGGCACCCCTGAAAACTGCAGCAGACCAGGCACTCTGACCTCCCTGTCTCCCCCTCGCTCCTCACAGGCCCACAGAGATGCTGCATCCCTTGGTCTTGTCCCCCACTAGTCAGTAAACCCAGGACAGTGACCTACCGCAGCCCCTGTGCTTAGAACAGGTATGGCACCTAGAAGCTGCTCAATAGGGTGTAGGCTGCGAGAAGACCAGCACCAGGTGTCTGACCAGTGGGGTCAGACCTGACCTGGGTTTAGCAACCTGGGTACTTGAGTTGTGGCTAGGAAAGAATTCAGAGCCAAGGCTCAAACTATAAAAGAACATTTATTTGGAAAACCACAGAGGTGGAAGTAATTTGTAGAAGAAATAATTTTAGGAGGTAAAGGAAGGGCCCTTGGAGCTGAGACGTGAGGAAGGTAAAGGTGACTGGGGGCGCGAGCATGTCCTCCCCAGAGGGAGAGCACACTGGATCTGCCCTCCTAAGGTTTTAAGGGTGGAGTTTTTAGGGGAGGTCCCAGGGGAAGATCTCAATATTCAACAGCTTCCAGGGTGTGTCTTTTCAGGGTTCCTGTCTCCACTGATTGATTGGTTGGCACCTGGGCAGGGGATCATTAGTCAATTCAGCCGGTCCTGAGGTCAGCCATGGGGTCATTTGTCTGGTTTTGCTGCTTTTCTGGGCCTGGAGCTGAAATACGACTGAGGCCTAGATGCTGTCTCTAGGGAGGAAAGGTCAGGGGCCCAAACCCATGACCAGTGATATGCTAGGGTAGGAGAGGTCACTTTGGGGACCAGGTCCCATCCTACAATTGTCCTTTGTGAGGCACCCAGGGCTTTCAGCTCTGGTGACCTTCTGACCTTCTGTCCTGGCCATCGGCCTTGCTCTGCTCCTGTCTGCCTACCACAAATAGTCACTGCTTGAATGATTGAAAGAAACAAATGAACAGTGATTAGAGTGTGAGGAAAGCTACCTAATCTAAGAAGCTATGCGAATTTAACAAAATGGAAACCAACAGCCCACTGGAAAACCCACAGACCTAGCTCAGGGTTTTAATTCAAATTCACATATTTACAACTTCTGGACGTTAGACCAGTAATTGTGCTCAGTCTCGTTATGAACGGCAGTAACTTCGCTCACGGCGCTGCCTTTCAGGAGGAAGTGAGGACGGAAGTAAGGCACTTAGCAGGTCTCAGTAATTGGTCAGTGTTGTCACTATTCTTAGTTTTTCAGATAAAATGATAGTAAGCCAATCTATATCTTGGACTTTAGCATAAATACGACATATAAAATAGTATTTCCCATTTAATCTGCCATAATCCATCCCCCTGAATCCTCCGCCTACAAAGCTCACTTAAATGGCACTTCGTTAGGAATGTGAAGCCCACTGAGACAAGCCAGGATGCTGTCAATCAAATTTTCCATCATCTGCTGCCTGGCTCGATAAGTTGCACTTCCAACGTGAGGTGTCAGAGTGACGTTCTCCAACTTCAGCAAAGGGTGATCTCTGAAATGCAGATTAATTGAGGAAAACCATGCAGAGCTGTTTTGTCTCGTGAACTTCATATTCTGGTTTCACATCCCCACCTTGAAATGCGTAACACACTCCCATTACACCTAGGCATGACCACCACTCTAACCCTGGTATGAGGGACCTTACATTTTTGGGTACAAAACACATATCCTAACTGCATCCAGGCCGTTAGCACACAATGCCACAATGTGCACGGTGGGTTAAACACTGGCCCACAAGACAGAATAGGGCATTCGGGGACATAGGTGCTGGTCCAGGACCATAGGACAAAGCAGAATGAGCCTTTGATGGGGAGATGCATTCAGAGGGAAAAGATCTATTCACTAGGATTAGCAGGTTAGAGGGACTTCTCTTCCAGGAAGAAGGCGAAGGATGGGAATCAGCCTGGAATAATGAGGTTTTCAGTGAAGTGGGTCAGGCAGATTAAACATGATGGATAACACTAGAACCCAGCATTGGAAAAGGGCTGTAACCTGACCCACCAGGGCCTCCTGACTATTTTAATGCAGATAGAGGCCAAAGTAGCCATGTGACCATCCGAGCTATTGAGGCTCAAGGGGCACAGCTTTGGGATCTTATGGACCCCAAAACCTATGGAGGTTCTCTGGGGGCCCTTGTCACTATGACTGCCCAAGTGCCCAGGACTAGTCCACTTAGGGCATATCCTGTAGTACAGCTGGCAGGGATAAGAACTCTCCTGAAAACACTTGTCTTCCCCGCAGGCAGCAGTGGGCCCTGCTGTCTGACAGCATACATTGGAAAACACAGGCTTTGTCCCAACTGACTTGGAACCCAAAGATACCTGAATCATGACCAATTGTAACACCTGTCCATAATAATATCTGAGGTAGAGGCCAGAGCCAATTTTGTTGAGAAAGCACAGCAAATACCTCTGTAATTGTTATTGATTTGCTGTGACCATATTGCAATATGGTGTAACACTAGCATTCTTGGTAGAATTTAACTACCTCATGTAAAAAAGTCATATAATACTGATATTGACGATCAATTGTATGGGGAGATTGAGTTAAAACGTCCTCAGAATATTGTACCAATGGGAAATGGCTGGCTTGAGAACCAACTAGATTTAGCTAAATAGCAGGTAATTTATACACTAACAGTACTGCATAAGTTCATCATAAGGTACAAATAGTGGTAGATCAATGGGCAAACAATCAAATTAGTACAAAATACAAAAATGCATGTAATGGCCTTATAGGATGGGTTAGTTGTTGCTTAAATCAATCCCTGCCCCACACTGGCTCTTCCAAATGTTAGGCATACTCATCCTGATACTATGGCTGTATCTGTCATATAAAAACTATAATAAATGTAGATGCTCCAATAAATATGATCATTTTACTGTAAGACGGCCTAGGTCAAGGGTCAGGGAGTGGCCCATGTAGCAAAGGATGAACTGAGCAGGCAGGCTTGGGGTGCTCAAACCCTGCACGTTCCAAAGATAGGCCTCTGGGAGATAACCTCTGAGCCCTTGAGCTATACTACCTATAAGAGTGTCATCTTGTCTTTGGGAACTTGAGCATAGCCAGACAGCTGATGCTAACAGTGGAATTTGTGGTGAATGCCTATTTTTGCTCACCTGGAACCCTGGCCCACTCTATGTCATTGTGGAGAGTCTGGAGACTAAGTAGCTAATGTCAGACATGTGGGCAGTGCCTAGGTGACCCCTTGGTCCCAAGGCTTGGGTGCACTTCCTGGTTAGAAATACCTCTTGTGTGCTGTCAAACCCCATCCCTGGAGCAGTGACTGCTATCCACACGGCTCCACTGAGAGAGGGCAACTGGGAGCTCATACCTCTTTCTCCTGGACTCTACCCACACCTGTTTACCTTTGCTGGATTTCATCTGTATCCTCTCACTGTAATAAATGGTAAGTGTGAGTACAAAAGCTTTTCTGAATTCTGTGAGTCTTTCTACCAAATCACTAAGCCTGAAGATAATCTTGGGGACTCCTTACACTGTTGGCAAATGAATTTTTTCTTTTTAAAATAATCTTGTAGTAAATCCTTGTGTAAGGCAAAGAATACTTATATAGTGTGACTAAATAATCCCAAATATCCTCAAAAATGTCTCCTCAAAAATCAAGATGAAAACTGAAGTATGTCTTATAAAGATAATACAGAGATTAGAAATTAGTATGGATATGTAAAGATTAAGTTATTCATTAAATAATGGCTGAATCTCTTGGCCACAAAAACCATTTCACATGGGACACTGCAAGCACCACATATTGGAATAAACTGAGCTTTGGGATATAACCCTGGTATTTGCCCTGTGACTTGATAGTAACTCTAATAAAAAGCTCATTTTAGCAGACTAGACAATAGGGGGATCACATGGCTTCTAGGTTTTTGAGAAAGTGGACAAATGTCTAAAATGTTCATGCTTCTTAATTTATATTGAAATTATTTTTTGTTCTAGATTAGTAGTGCATAAACACTTGTTCTCAGGACCTCTTTACACTTTTAGAAATTGAAAACCCCAAAGAACATTTGTTTATGTGGGGGTCTATCAACATTTACTGTATTATAAACTAAAACTGGAAAACATTAATACAATGATTCGGAAGCACACATTCCTTTCGCTGTCAGAGTGTCACCATGTGTCATTAATCAGCACACTTGTGAGAAAATATGAGTGGAAAGTAAATCACACCTGACAGTATCATAAATATAGTTTTGACTTCATGGACCCCTAAATGGGTGTCCAGACCACCTTTTCAGAAACTCTGTAATGTCATTCAGCTGACAGGAACTTGCTTACTGGACAGAAATCAAAGCTGGAGGAATCAACACTAGTTTAAAGAATGACAGTAGCCCTAACAGCCTGGACCTTTGGGTCAAAACACAAGAGAAAATGAAATTATACAGAAATAAATGTAAAATTCCACGCATATGCTTCAAAACCAGTGGAGGGAATAACAATTTCCATTTTAGCTGACTAAATAATGAGTAAGGGTGTGCTGCCAACAAAAACTTTGTGTAACTTTTCTGCAGTGGTTAGGCTGCCACAAAAACATTGTGTTCAGTTCTCCAGAGCACATTTCCAAACAAAAGCGCTGCAAGACAATAGTAATGACAAGGTGTCCCGAAATGCCATTGCTTAGGCTACAATGAAAGGATATGAAGATATTTAGCCTCAAAGAAAGACTAAGATAAAACAAATTAGTTGTCTTAAAACACATGAGGGTTTGTAAAGAAGAAAACCTGTTACCCTTCAATGCTGCAAGGGTGACCCAGGGTCAGGGGTTTGGGGAGGACTCCTGGTTCAACAGGAGGAAGACGGCTTGGTACATGTCTATCCATGGGGCCAGCTGCCCAAGCATCCTGAGCTCCTGTCCATGGAGGTGTGGAAGCAGAGGCCAGACTGTCTGCAGAACTGGACAGGTCCCCAGAGGCCTACAGGCCCCTCCTGGCCAAGAACTCAACAATTCTGTGTCAACACAGCTGCAAACGCCAGAGCAGTGATTTCTGAGCCCCCCACCCCTTTACCTCTCCACCCCCCAGTTTGGAAAGGACTGGATACTGCCTAGCTTCCTTACCTGGGCAAGGGCTCTGGGTGTGACACGTCCAGTGCAGCTGCTCTAATGACCCCAGTCTGAAGAGCTTCCACCAGGGCGTCCTGATCGACTAACAGACCTGAGTCAACGAGACAAGTCCTCTGTGGTCACCACAGTGAGGCAGTGCACTGGAAAGACACTCTGGTCACATTAGCTACTTTCCAAGGTCATTGGCCTCTGACATTCCTGAAAGCATGTAGTACCCATCTAGAGGGTCTGAGTTTTCTGAGAAGATTCAGCGCGTTAGCTCGGCCCTGTGAAGCTGCAGGGCAGGAGCTGTTGCCCTTGTTCACAGAGAACGCGTGGGTGGCGGTGGCAACCCCGGGTCTACATCCTGAGCTGCCAACCCTGCAAAGGCCAGCAGCCCAGATGCTTGGCGTTAGCACTGACCCTCAGGTGTGCTGTCACGGCCAGTGTCTCGAGGACTCTGGCTCTCTTTTATAAATGCCACTCCCCCCTCCCCCCCCAGTATTTGGTTATGTCGCAGGGCCCACCACCTCTTGTATACAAACACATACAGCGCTATGTAAATGTCAAATACCACACTAACACTATGTTCTTTTTTAAAGTGAAGGCTCAGAAGATTCATCCCCATACATTTTGCTTAATCACACCTAGAAGATGAAACTGTGATGCCCCTACCCTGAGTAGATGCCCGAACCTGGATTTGAAAACCCATGTTGCAGTGTCCTCATTCCTTTTTATACTAATTTGAGGTTCAACAAGATGTGAAGACAAAAATCAGGAATGTTTCTGGGTAGAAGCTCACCCCACCAGTCTAGGTGGCTCTTCAGCCACTCAGGGGAAAGGCAGAAATGCAAAGAGCTGGCCAGTGGCTTTCCTCCCATCTGGTTTCCTAGCCACACACACAGCGGCTGGTACCTCTACCGATGTTCACGAGGATGGCGGTGGGTTTCATCAGCCTCAGCTCCTTCCTCCCAATCAGCCCCTGCGTCTGGGATGTCAGGCTCAGGGCCAGCATCACGAAGTCTGACTGCTGAAGCAGGTCCTCCAGCCTCTCACAGTAAGTGGCCCCAACAGCTTCCTCCTCCTCTGATTCCCTATGTGGAGATCAAGAAAAAAGAATCACATTCTCTAGACAGGAATTCATCAAGTTGTTCCAGGAAGGACTTTCTGAGGGGAGCCAGGGACTCGGTCTATCCCCAACATGGGTCCAGGACTGGGCCCTGGAAATCCCTGGGCACCTGGGTTCTCGGAGCCGAGCCCTAGTGTCTGCAGGGTTTCACACCAGACCCACAGTTCCCTGAGACCAAGACCTTCCTCTCACCCATCTCTGAACCCAGGAGTCTGGCACAAGCCTGATCGTGTGGGACATAATTTTAGTCGTGTCAGAGCATCACTGAATGTGGGCAAACACATTGCAGTTCCCAGAAAGCAGAACAAAACAAAACAGGAGAGGGCCTGGGAGTGCTGACTGCTAAACAGAAGCAAGGAAGAAGCAAGAACCCAAGGGTCAGATGTGGTCAGTATTGTGTTTTAGTTTTGATCCAATCTGAATTCCTGCTCCAGCCACCCCAGACAGCTGATTACTCAATGGAAATTCCAAGCTCCAGGAGGTCACAGCATCCCAGGTAGCCACCACTGCTATACACACACAGAATACAAAACTATACAAACTTGTCCTAACCTTTCTTGGCCAGGGATGCCTGGAGGAAAGACGGATGGCGGGCATGCCCAGCTCCCTCAATGCCCTGTCCGCATCCCTTACCTGTCCTGGAGAGCTCTGCCTTTGCCCTCTCATCACACTGAGACTTATCTCCACTATCCATCGTGCAAACAGTGATTGAAAAAGGGGATGGTGTGGCTCAGTTGGTTGGCATCACCCCAGGCACCGAGAGGTTGTCAGTTTGATCCCTGGTCAGGGCATACGCCTGGGGTTGTGGGCTCAGTCCCCAGTAGGGGGTGTGCAGGAGGCAGCGGGTCAATGTTTCTCTCTCTCATTGATGTTTCTCTCTCTCCCCCTCTCTCTAAAAAATATCAATACAAATATTTTAAAATAATTAAATAACATCAACTCCTTAAAAAAGAAAAGAGAAAGAGGATGGGCTCTGACATAATACCTCCTGGATCACCAGGCCACGAATATCTCATCAGCCAGAATTCCATTCCACGTGCCACGGGAAGCCACTGCAAGGGGCTGAGCAATGGCTGTCCTCTGGCTGATTGGCAGAGCGGACTGGGCATCCAAGAGCAGGCCATCAGCCCCTCAGGGAACGTGTAGATGAAGCGAGAGACAACAGGCAGGTTGGAGGGTTGTTTGGAGACAGAATCAATAGGACAGGGTGTTGAGCTGAATTACATATGAAAGGAAATGGTGAGCATATAGCTCAATAGTAAAGGAACCAAATGGCTCAGTGGTTGTGGATGGCATCTCCCATGATAAAAAATCACTTGAGAAATAAAAAGAAAAACAATTATAGGTGAGTTAAAATCTCTTTCTGGTGAAATTTCTTAATGGAAACAACTTACTTAATGGTAATTGTAACAATACCACGATCCCTTTCTGGACCATCCATCCCACTTTCTGGAAGAGTAAGGCGTCTGATGAAAAATGAAGAGATCACACACCCAAGCCCCATCAAGGCTGCAATGGCTTCAATGCTGCTCGGTCCCCTTCCAGTCCACTCTGAGTCTCACCTGCGCTTCCTGTTGTGGTACAGAATCCTCATTTCAAACGCCCTGGCCCGCTGAGCGACCTTGTAGCCGATGCTGCCCATGCCTACGATCCCCAGGGTGGACCCCGTCACTTCCTGACCCAGCCAGTTTCGGGAAAATTGCTCTGTATCTGGTGAGACGGCCATCTGGTGACCTGAGATACATGAGAAGACAGTGGGAGTGGAGATGGCACCAGACAGAAACTCACACCCCTTCTTGGCACCTTTAGCCAAGGTCACAAGGGTATAGGATGCTGGTGGCAGACCACAGTTGTCATGCGTTTCTGTGTGACAGCAAACAAATGTTTCTGCAAGGGAAACAAAGGGACAGACGGCAGTGTCCTCATAGCAAAGCCAGCACTTCCTGGTGGAAAGCGTTACAAGAACAACTCCTTTCACATTAAGGAAGGATTTCTGGTTAAAATTGGTTTGGGGTGTGTCTGTGTGTATGTGACTGTGAGTATGTGTGTGACTATGTGTGCATGATTGTGTATATGTATGACTGAATATGTGTATGTGACTGTGGGGCTGTATGTATGTGATTGTGTGTACATGTGTGGCTGTGTGTACATGTGTGGCTGTGTGTACATGTGTGGCTGTGTGTATGTGTGTGGCTGTGACTGTACATGTGTGTATGTGTGTGGCTGTACACATGTGGCTGTATGTGTGTGACTGTGTATATATGGGTGGCTGTGTGTACATGTGTGGCTGTGTATATGTGTGTGAGTGTACATGTGTGTATGTGTGTGACTACATGTGTGGCTGTATGTGTGTGGCTGTGTGTACATGTGTGGCTGTATGTGCATGTGGATGTATGTGTGTGTAACTGTGTGTACATGTGGGTGACTGCATGTGTATGTGTGTGAACCACAATCAGAAACAGAAAGAGCCTACATCTTGCTTCTCTCTCTCCAGCCCCTTCACACCAAAGCTCCGTTAGGAGGCTGGTAAGTGCTGAGCTGCTACACTGCCTTTCCTGGGGATGCCCCCAGAGATGTCCAGTGCGTGGACAGGTGGGATTCTGCCTACCTACTTGTTCCTGACCAGCATTTCCACAGTGGTGCTGAAATGATCACACACATACTTTCCGCCTGGCGTGAGTGGGTGGCATTTGATGGGGCAGAAAACGGCTGCCCTCAGACTGCTGAATCACTTGTTCCTGGGGCTGGAATTGGGCACTAAGTGGACTGCAAATGAGCATGAGCGGGCTCCAATCCCCAAGTGCCACCGAGTCCTGGACACAGTATAAAGAAATCAGGGCCAGAAAAAGATTTGAAGTTTGAAGGTAAAGTTATATTTGTTATGTATTAATAAGTGTCTGCCATCTGATCTCTTGGGAAAACCAGCATCTCCAACATGGTTTACCTTCCACTACTCTCCGGGCTGCTGCCAGCAGTAAAGCCATCCCCATGTCAGCCGTGGGACTGGAAACAGCCTGTGGTGTGTTGGCCACCTTCACACCAAAGCTGGCGATGAGCTTCAGGTCCAGGTGGTCTAGGCCGGATCCTGGGCTGGCAACAATCTTTAAGGCGGGCAGGCTCTGCAGGAGCTCCAGAGTAATAGCTGGCTTCCTGTCCCATATATATACAGCCTGGATCTTTGGACCCAATTGTGTTTTATTTTCCAGAAGTTCTTGCATGGTGATGAGATGAAAGTGTTTCTGCAGCTCTCCAACATGATCTTTACAAATCCCAGATGGTCCTTCAAATCCAGACACCAAAACTCCTGGTCTGTCCTGATCCCCCATGGCCTGCAGAAAGGCAGCTGTGATTTCTGCTGTCAAAATAGAGTCTGTAAGAGAACAACCTGTGCATTCTCCTGCTACTCTTCAGATTCTCTAAATTACAGCAAGGCTGGAATTCATTCTGAAAGTCAATAGATCCAGAGCTCTGAAGACCCCAGTGTCTCCATCACACCCTCCGAGCTGCCTCCAATGACACCATCCTGGTAATCCCCCATTGGTGTGACGCCCAACCCTGGAGTGTGCTTCTAGTGAAGATGGTACAGTGATGTGTTGGGAGATCACTGCTTGCCCACGCTCTCCCTACGCTGGGAGACAGCCTTTGCAGAGACCAGGACTGAGCTTGGAAGGTCTAAGAGGCCTGCCAACAACCAGGTGAGCCTTGTTATGACTGCATCCCTGGTCAATACCTTGTTTAAAGTTTCATGAGAGACCCTGAACCAGAACCACTCAGATAAGCTACTCCTGGATTCCTGACCTGAGCAATTGGGAGGTACAGATGTTTGTTATCCAGCCACTGAAATTTAGGATAATTTGTTATGTATGCAGCAATAACTAATAAAATTGACTATGGACAAAAAAGGGGTTCTACAGAAAGTAACCTCATACCGGGATCAGGTCATAAATCTTAACTGGGAAGATCACTGCGGTAGTCATGTGCAGGCACGTAGCTTTTTTAGTAAAAGGTTTATCTTTGCCTTACAAAACCCTGTCCAGCAGGGCCAGGCGTGGCTCAGTGGTTGAGCGTTGACCTAGGATCCAGGCGATCGGGGTTTAATTCCCGATCAGAGCACATGCCCGGGTTACGGGCTCGATCCCCATTTGGGGGCGTGCAGGAGCCAGCCGATCAATGACTCTCTCATCATTGATGTTTCTATCTTTCTCTCCCTCTCCTTTCCTCTCTCTGAAATCAATAAAGATATGTTTAAAATAATAATAATAATAATAAAAACCCTTATATATGCATCTTTGGGTCACGCCTTAGCTAAAAATGTTTAACATTTGTTCAAAGCTGAGAGTGCAATTGGTTTAAAAAAATTAGAGGGGGGGCAACTTCAAGATGAGAAGATTTTTAGTTTATTTTTGCAGAGAGGATATCTGAATCCTGATAGCTTTGTATTTGGCTTTCCATTAGCTTTGGTTAAAGAGCAATGACATCCACCCATCACACCATTATTGTCAATGGTTTTATGTGGAAAAGGTCCAAGATTCTCCAAGTGACTCATGGCTGCTCCAAATAATAAGAGGTTGTGAGCCCTGGCCAGTGTTGTTAGAGTGTCTTTCTGGCCATCCAAGGGCCACAGATTCGATTCCCAGTTAAAGGCACATACCTGGGTTGCAGGCTCATCCTCACCCTGTTGGGGCATGTGGGGAGGCAACCAATTGATATCGTTCTCCCTCTTTCTCTTCCTCCCTCTCTCTCTCTCTCTCTCTCTCTCTCTCCCCCTCCCTCTCTCCCTCCCTTCTGCCCTCTCTAAAAAGCAATGGAAAAAATATCCTGGGAGGGAGAGGATTCACAACAACAAAAAAAGAGGCTGTGAGATTCCCAGTTGGGAGAAATGGAAGTAACAGTGATGGGAGCACTGGGCAGATGCAGGGCTCTCCTTTCTTGATCTTGTTCTCTCACACTGGACTTTGACCATCTCCAATCAAGGGCCAGAGTCCAGCAAAGGAGCATGAGACATTTGATTCAATAGACAATTATCTGATCAGTACACATATAGATATGAGGACCTAGAAGATTAAGATATGCCAGAGGCAGTGATTCCAAGGTGGTGGCAGATTAAATGGAAGCTACACTGACACTCTCCCAGGCCCAAACTGAATTAAAACTAAAATATAGAAAAAAACAACCTGAATAGTCAACTGAAGACTAGTTGGCAAGCACCCTCATCACCAAGGACCTAAAGGGGAGACCACATAGAGACTGGTGCAGAGGTGCAAGAGGCTGGCAGCTGAAGGTTTGGAGGGAGATCTCAGTTGTGGGGGGTTCCCACTGAGGACTCTGGGGCCTAACCCCAACCTGGGCTCCCCAGCCCATGGCACCAGATCTGAGCAAGGTGCCCACACAACATCGACTATGACAAGCAGCGGTGTGTCTACCTGCCAGGGAAAGACAGCTGGATATATAGGCACCCTCTTAAAGAGCCAACACACAAAGTTTGATGTGCAGCCACTCACCTTGGGCTCCAGTGGAGGGAAGGCAGAGTGGACTAGAGCTGTGTGAGGAGAATCCAGAGATGCAGCTCTAGGGATAGAGCTCAGAGGGCACCCATGTGGATTCCTGTACTGAGTCACTCCCCAATACTGCAGAGGACACATTTCTCAGGCAGACCTTTATCATCCAGGTGGCTTTTGCCTGGGAGGGAAGCAATTGCCTCACCTATTGGGCCAATCTGTGAAGATTATATCTTGCTGTGGTCTACAGCCTGAGGCTCATTAAGAGACTGAGAATAACAATCAGCCTGCAGCCAGAAGCTGACCTCTGGATGTTTTGAGTCTTTGCCTGATCTGCTTCTGGACATGGGGCTTGGAAAAGCAGATGTTGGTGGACATCTTGGTCCTACCCAAATGCATCCAGCCCCAGCAGAGGAGCCACAAGCTGTGGACCACTGACAGCTCCAAACAGGGTACCCAAGGCTGGTCACAAACAGCATCTGACATTATACTGCACCAGAAACCCTCCAAAAAGACTGGGAGTCCTAAAAGATCTACCTAACACATAGAAATAAACCCAAACAGGCAACCAAAATGAGGAGACCAAAAAAAAAAAAAAAAAAAAAA